GCAGCAGCAGCAGCACAGCAACAGCACAGCAGCAGCGGAGCACCAGCAATGCTGCGACCATATCACCCCAAGCCTTAACCCCTGTAGCCGCCGCCGCCGCAGCAGCAGCAGCGGCAGCAGCAGCAGGCACAGCAGCAATCGGCGCAGCAGCAGCAACAGCGGCAGGCCGATGGCGCTGTTGGTGCTGCGACCGTGCAGCAGAGAAGCGGAGCAGCAAGGAGGGGGTTGCTGCTGCTGCTACCGCGACGCATCCCTGCGGTTGCCGCATGGGGAGCACAGCACCAGCAGCAAGAACAGCAGCAGCAGCAGCAGCAACCCATGACCGGCTACATGAGCGCTGATGCAGCAGTGCGTGGAGCTGCAGCAGCAGCGGCAGTTGCAGCCTGTTTCTCCTACGGGAAGCAGCAGAACTGCCGCCTGCAGCAGCAGCAACAGCAGCAGAGACGCAGGGACACCACGCAGTGTGCGTTGTGCAGATGCTGCTGCTGCCATGGGGCTGCTCCCCAGGGAAGGATCGCAGCAGCAGCAGCAGCAGCAGCAACAGCAGCATCAAGTTTGTTCACCGAATGAGCTCGCACATCCTCGTGCTGCGTCTGTTTCCTACACGCTGCAGCAACAGCAGCAGGAGCCGCAACAGCAGCAGCAGCAGCAGCGACAGCAGCAACAGCAACAGCAGCAGCAGCAACAGCAGTCGGTGAGTTCCTCTTCAGCCAGAGCCCGTGACCCTCCGCTTGCCCTGTTGGATGCTGTTGTTCGTCACCACAGCAGTAGCAGCAGCAGCAGCAGCAGCAACAGCAGCAGCAGCAGCTTTTGGGGGGCTACAATGCGCAGCAGCGGCAACAGTCCTGCAATTTCTGGTCTTGCTGTGAATCAGCAGCAGCAGCCAATGCAGCCAATGCAGCAGCAGCCGCAACAGCGACTGCAGCAGCAGCAGCAGCAGCAGCAGCAACTGCAGCAGCAGCAGCAGCAGCAGCAGAGTAGCCCACTGTGGGATAACGTGCACCCCCTTCAGCAGATACAGATGTCGCCCTTGTTGCAACAGAAGCCGCTGCGGCAACAGCTGCAGCAACCACAGCAGCATATGCAGCGACCTCAGCAGCAACTGCAGCAGCAACAGAGCAGCCCGCTGCGACAGCAGCAGCAGCCGCAGCAGCAGCAGTGCAGCCCGCTCCGACAGCAGCAGCAGCCGCAGCAGCAGCAGTGCAGCCCGATCCGACAGCAGCAGCAGCAGCAGCTACATCGTGCGTGGCAGCAGCAAGCGGCATGGGCTCAGCAGCACTGGGCGAAGCCCCGGAGAGCTTGGAATGCGTACAGCCTGCAGCTTAACAGCAGCAGCAACAGCAGCAGCAGCAGCAACGGTAGCGGTAGCAGAGGCAGCAGCAACAGCTACAGCAGCGGCAGCTACAGCAGCAGCAGCAGCAGCACGAGCGGCAGCTTCGGCGGTGCACCTCTGCTTTGCGGGGACCCCTCAACGCCACCTGTACCACACAGGCGACAGCAGCAGCAACAGCAGCCGCAGCAACAGCAGCAGCAGCAGCAGCAGCAGCAGCAGCCGACTCCTTGGAACCAACAGCACCAGCAGCTCCGGAACTGGCACAACCAGCAACTGCTGCAGCATGCACAGCCGCGGCAGCAGCAAGAGCAGCATCAGCTACAGCAGCAGCGGCGGGTGCTGCAGCAGCAGCAGTGCCTCCCTCGGGCCCCAGGGATGCCGCAGAGGTTCCCAGCAACGGTGCAGCAGCAGCAGCAACAACAACCGCAGCAACAGCAGCAGCAGCAACAAGGGGGCGTGGTGTCGCTGCAACAACAGCATCTGCAGCAGCAACAGCAGCAGCAGCAGCAGCATCTCTGCTACCCGGTGCAGCAAAATAATCCCTGGCAGCGGTCTGATCAGCAGCAACAGCAGCAGCAGCAGCAACAACAGCTACAACAGCAGCAGCCGTTGCAGCAGCAGCTACAGCAGCAGCATCCACAACAGCAGGAGCAGCAGCAGCAGCAGCAACAGCAGCAGGATTACTCGTGGCTGCGAGTGGAGTGGGGAGAAGATATAATGGACTTGCTGGAGGCAGCAAGCGCAGAGGTGCTGCTGCTGTTGCTGTTGCTGCTGCTGTTGCTTCTGCTGTTGCCCTATTGCCGTCTTCTCCGTCGCTAGTATTGCTGCTGCCTCTGCTGCCGCTGCTGCTGCTGCTGCTGCTGGAAGCCTGCTTGGTGTTGCTGCTGCGGCAGCTCTTTTTGCTGCTCCACGTGGCGTTGTTGTCGTGCTTGCGTTCTTGCTGTTGCTGCTGCTGCTGCTGTTGCTGTTGCTGCTGCTCCTCAGGTTGATTGCCAATGATGTGTGTGGTTGCTGTGCAGGACTTAGCTTACAGCAGCAACGACAGCTCTACTGCAGCAGCTGCAGCAGCAGCAACAGCTGCAGGTGGAGACGGCGCAGCAGCAACGGCATCAGCCGCTGCTTCTGCTTCTGCTTCTGCTGCTGCTGCAGCGAACACCGCAGCACCAGGAGGCGTTGGTATTGCCCGCCGAAGGAGCAGCGGCAACAGCAGCAGCAGCAGCAGCAGCAGCAGCAACCGCAGCCGTATACGGGCAGGCTGGGGCTCCGCTGCTGCTGCTGTGCTGCGCGTTGATTTGAGGGAGGAGATTTGTGTCATTTGCTCTGAAGTGCTGCTGCAGCAGCAGGAGATAGCTTCCTTGCCAACCTGCTGCCACCTCTTCTGCTTTGCGTGTCTCTACAAGTCAGTATGGTGCTGCTGCTGTTGCTGCTGCTGCCGTTGCTGGTGTTGTTGCTGCTGCTGCTGTTGCTGTTTTTGGTGCTGCTGCTTCTGGTGAATCTGCTGTACTTCATGGCTGCTGCAGGCCTGCCGTAAGCATGATGCGAGCTTGTATGTATATTTCTTCGTGCTGGTGCTGCTGCTGCTGTTGCTGCTGCTGCTGCTGCCGCAGGTGGGCTTCCATTAGTAGCAGATGTCCTCTTTGCTCGACTGCCTTTACTACCATCGTTCGTCGGCGAGTTAGCGCAGCAGCAGCAGCTGCTGCTGCTGCTGCTGCGAGCCAAAAGCTTCCCGTAAAGGACAACCCCCAAGGCGCTGTGGTGAAGAGTGAACAGCAGCAGCAGCAACAGCAGCAGCAGCAACAGCAGCAGCAGCAGCAACAGGCGACCAGTTCATCGTTGCCCGCTTTGGTCGCATCCTCTCAGCTGAAACTGGAGAGCAGCAGGAGCGGGTGCACGCAGCCAGCAGCACCTGCAGCAGCAGCAGCCGTAGGAGAAACAGCAGCAGCAGCAGGAGCAGCAGGAATTGAGGCTTGTTTGATAGGCCTGCAGCTGGTAGAGGAGGTGCCGCTTCCTCCTCCTGCTGCCAGGCGGCGGGGATCGGGAGCGGGATCGGTGGGATCGGGATCGGGTTCGCTGGGATCGTTGGGGGGGTGTGAAGTCTGCGGCAGAGACGATGACTGGACCCGGCTGCTGCTGTGCGACTGCTGCGACAGCGCCTTTCATATATACTGCTTGTCTCCTCCTCTTCCTGCTGTCCCTGAGGGGGACTGGCACTGCAGAAGGTGCAGCGAGCAGCAGCAGCAGCAGAGGCAGCAAAGGCAGCAGCAAAGGCAGCAGCAAAGGCAGCAGCAAAGGCAGCAGCAAAGACAGCAAAGGCAGCAAGCCAGGAGAGGAAGGCCACGTAGACAGCAGCAAGGAGATGCAACAGAACGACGCGGAAGACGTGCACGCAGCAGCAGCAGTAGCAGCAGCAGAGCAGCAGCAGCAGCAGCGCCAGAAGCGGGGGCAAGGCCTAGGAAGAGAGTAAAAAAGGCAGCAGTAGATGAAACTACAGCAGGTTCTGCTGCTGCTGCAGGTGCCGGCAACAGCAGCAGCAGCAGCAGCAACAGCAGCAGCAGCAGAATTGCTGACTTCGACGCGTTTGCCCACAACGCCAGCGCGGGGACAAACGGAGGCGGAAGGCTTCAGAGAGTGGGACGCAGAGAAAGCAGCAGCAGCAACAGCAGCAGCAGCAGCAACAGCAGCAGCAGCAGCAGCAGAAGGAGAGTGCCTCTTCAGGCAGCAAGGCGCCTACGGAGACGCCGCCGCTCCTCGAGCGGTCTTGAGAGCTGCAGCGATGACTCCTCAGACCTGCACGACTTCATTGTTCACAGCAGCAGCAGAAGCAGCATCAGCAGCAGTAGTAGCAGCAGCAGCAGCAGCAGCAGCAGCAGCAGCGCCAGCAGCAGCAGCGAGGACAGCAGCGACAGCGACAGCTGCACGGAAATATCCCCCAGAAACAACCGGCCACCGAACAGCAGCACAAACAGCAGCAGCAGCAGCAGCAGCAGCCGTGATCGGAGCAGCAGTATTGCTGCTGGTAGAAGAATTTTGGGTACCCCAATCGGGCCCCAGAGAAATCAGCAGCAGCAGGACCAGCAGAGGCGGCAGCAGCAGCAGCAGCAGCAGCAGGGACAGCCAGAGCCTGCTGCTTCCGAAGGCAGGCCGTCGGGAGTGGACCCTGCTGCTGCTGTCAGCTTGTCGCAGCAGCGACAGCAGCAGCAACAGCATCAACAGCAGGTAAATCCACAGCAGCAGCAAAAGCCAGGAGCAGCTGCTCGAAGACAGAACGGTGTGCAGGCGCTGCTGCGTCGGTACTTTGTGACGCCAACTGGCAGGAACGGTGCAGACAGAAGCAGCAACAGCAGCAGCAGCAGCGGCAGCAGCAGTGTGACGCCAACTGGCAGGAACGGTGCAGACAGAAGCAGCAACAGCAGCAGCAGCAGCAGCAGCGGCAGCAGCAGCAGCAGGACGGGCTAGTGAGGGAGAAATGGGGGCCCAACTGTGGAAGCAGGTAGTCGTGCTTCTTCTTTGCTGCTAGGCCCCCAGAGGGTATGGGGGGCCCTCAGAGAGTGTATCGGGTCTAGGGGGCCCCCCGAGAGGGTATAGGGTGCCGACAGAGGTGTTACGGGGCCCCCCAGTGGTCTAGAGGGCCCACCAGAGGGTTTAGGGGGGTCCCAGAGGGTTTAGGGGGGCCCCAGAGGGTTTACGGGGGCCCCAGAGGGTTCAGGGGGGACCCAAAGAGTTTAGGGGGCCCCAGAGGGTTTAGGGGGCTCCCAGAGGGTTTAATGGGGCCCCCAATATCTTTGCAGGGAGTTTCGATTGTTTATTGAGGTGAACCGCGCACGAGTTTGTGACGCGTATAAGTCTTGTCCTTTCATAACGTCCTGCTGCTCCTGCTGCTGCTGCTGCTGCGGGAGCGTGTGCTGCTGCTGTGGGTGTTGTTGCTGCTTTGCTGCTGCTGCTTCCGCTGTTCTGCTGCTGTTGTGGCATTCAATCTAACAAAAAGCTCTCGTAGATGGGCCTGTTTTTAAGTACTTATTTCTCCTTTCAAGGATCCCTAGACCATATATCCTAAACGTTAAGCCCAATACCGCGCACTAAGCACTAAACCCCAAACCTTCAGGCCCACACCCGATACCCGTCTAAACCCTCATCCTTAAACGCACCCCCTGAACCCTGAACACTACGTCGTAAACCGCAGGTAACTTCGCTTGCTTCTAGATCGTAAACACCAGCGCATGCGAGTTTGTCTTCGAAAGGGACGGGGAGGGTTCAGGTGAGGTTTGCCCACCAGGCAACCAAAAAAGGTGTACAAAAAGAATAAGGGTGTAGGGTCTAGGTTTTAGGGTTTAGACCTAGGGTTAAGTCTGGAATATAGGGTTGGTTGGAGATGAGTGGGGAATTAACAAATGAGGAAAAGCCTTTTCTAGATTCCTGAGGAGGCTGCGAGAATGGTTCAGGGCTCAGGATTGCGCATGAAGCACTGCTGCCAGGTACAAACCCCAACGACGCAAAAGCAAAAACAGCACCCGCTGCTTTTAGACCGCACCTGAAGCAGCAATAAGACCGTTTCAGTATTTCTCATGCAGCCCAAGCACCAAGGCCACCGGCACAAGCAGCAACAGCAACAACAGCAGTGCCACGCAGCACCACATGCAATCGAAGCAGCAGCAACACCAGCAGCAGCATTAACTACACCACGCAGCGCCAGA